GAGCCGAGCCGTGCTGCCCGCCCAGCCCGCGTCTCCGCCGGGCAGCGAGCGGCGGGGCAGGCGGCGGCGGGGCTCCGCTCGCTCCCGGGGCTCGCCGGCTTTAGCAAAGTATTTAATTAGCCTCCACAAACTTCTTTTCCTTCGCCTGCAGATTATACTGAGTGGAGGGTTGGGAACTATTTTACACCTTGCCACTCACATGTTAATTAATCTCTATCTAACCCTAATTGCAGTTTATTCAAGCACCGCTCAACAGCTCACCCACACAATAAACACTGGGGCTGCTTTTATCCATATTACTCCCCGCTCACACGTTGAGTAATTAACTCCAGTACCAACTAATAGTGCAAACAAATATTTTCTGTAAACGAGATGATTTCGGGCAGGATAAAAGAGGGCTGCGGAGCCGGGGCCGGGAGCTCACTGCCAGCTTCCCCACGCCGCCCTCGTCCTTGCCGGGGTGTTCTCTGGGCCGGGTCTCTCCTTCCCTCCCGGGCCGAGGGGACGGTTCCCTGCTCGTCCCTCCGCACCCACCGCCTTGCTCCGGTCCCGGGGGCGAGGAGCGGCGGCGGGGACCCCCGTGCAGCATCCCCGGGACTCCCTCCTTCCCGCGGAGCCCGAGGCCGGGTACCGGCTCCCGGCCTTGGCTGTGCCGTGCTTCCCGGCCGGTGAGGAGCCGGGGGTACCGCACGCCTTGTGCTTTATGATCCCAGCTCAGGGCCGGGCATCGGAGCTCAGTATTTTAATTGAAATCGCAGGTTTAAGCACAGCTGGAGGCTGTCTCTATCGATTCCACTTCTGCCGTTCCGGCAAGCGTATTACAAATGACTGACTTTGAGACAGCTGCCCCCGCCACGCCGCCCTGCCCGCCGCCCTGCCCACCGCCCTGCCTTCGCCCCCTCTTCATACCGGGAGCCTTCGACGGGGCTGGCGGGTTTTGGGGGCGGAGGGGGGTGTCGAGGTGGCCCGGAGCGGCTTTGGAAAAGGAGGCAGGAGCGGCTGCACGTCGGGCGGGCTGCGGGGGTCCCGGCTCGGCGCCGCTTTCCGCCTTTCCCGTGGAGGCTGTTCTCCCGTGGGGTTTTAATCCTTCACCCCCCACCCCCGTCCCACCCCCGGCGTTTGGAGAGGAGAAATGGTTTGCGGATTTTTTTCCCTGGAAGGCGGCACGCCGCAAAACCTCTCGGCAACGCGGACGCGATCGCTCTTGCGGGTATTTTTGCGCAGCTGCCCTCTTAGAAAAACGACTGCGGTCCCGGGTCAGGCGGGACGGCCCGGCCACCCCCACGAACACGCCGGGTTCGCCACGGGGCTCATCCAACGCCCCTTCGCGTCCGTGGGTCCCGTACGCGCCCGGTAGCCCCGGCCCCAAACGCTCCCCGGCCGCTGACATCGAAAACGGGCGGGGGTTTCCCTTTCGCCCCCCGACAAGGAGACCCGCTCGGTGAGGGGGTCCCAGGGGGGGCGTCCCGGGTGGGCCCCGGCCGGGCGGGGAGCGCAGGGCCCCGCAGGCCCGGCCCGGCTCGGCTCCCCGCACCCCTCGGGCCGCCGGCAGCCCGGGCAGTCGGCGCTGAGCATTTATGGTCCACTGGGAGATAACTTAGGATCCTCCTAGTTATTTAACTTGGCAGCTGCTTAAACTCCACAGTGGAAGCTGCCGAAAGTTATTAGCATTATGCTTCGATCTCTCTGAAATGGTGGCTTTGATTTCTATGCTGCTTTGCTTGCTTATATGGTTTTTTTTTCCTTTTTTTTTTTTTTTTTTTTTTTTTTTTTATTTCTTTCGTTAATAGCAGAAGGTGATGGACGACCGGGCAAGCCACCGGTGCAGGCAATTAGGAAGAAGCTGCCTTTTGTGAGCCGTGGGGGCAGCTTCTGATGTAGCGTTGTGGCTGGTGCAAGGTGCGATAGAGGGGCCCAGGGTCGGGCTGGGAGGGGAGCTGGGCTGGGGGGAGAGCTGGGCTGGGGGGAGAGCTGGGCTGGGGTGCTGCCCTGGCCCCACCGTGCTGGATTTGGGTCTGCCTTGGTGAAAGGCAGTGATTACGCCCTCAGAGCACTGCTCAGGGATGGCCCCAACCAAAGTTTCGTTTGCGGTGGTCAGACATGCTTTTTGGACAAATTAGCAAGTGATAAATGGGGCAAATCAGGATAGCAAAGTTTGGGGTTGGGGTGAAGAGAGGGTTGTTATCCATTTGACTGCTTCCTGTTACCCCTTTGAAACTATGGTACCTTGTGTAACAGGAGCAGTACCAATGCCTTGGCCCCCACAGACCATCCCTCTCATCCTGCAGGGCCCTTGGGGTTGGAGGGGTGACGCTGTCATGTCACCCAGTGAAGACGGCCATGACTCTCCATGAGGTAGGGGCAGTGTAAGATAAGGCCACCTTGGTTGCAGCAGGTGTTGAGTCCCCCTAGACTCTTTTATCAGCCCGTTCACTGAGTTTTGCCACATTACTGAATATATGTAGGCAGATAATTTTAATTTATTTTATTTAGGTTTGTTTTTTTTTTGGCATAATGAAACACTACTGGGGAGCTAGGTTTTTTGGAGCACTGCATAGGTCCCAGAGCAAATGTGGTTAGTGGAATTTTGGAAGTGCACTGGCCCAGAGTCCAGGCATGACTGTGCTGATTGACTTTGTCAGTGATGGCAGGGGTAACATCAGCATTTTTTAACCTGAGTCTAATTTTAAGAGCTGGTATCTGATGTGCTCCTGGAGCTGTTTGAAATCTAGCCCCACTGCAGAGCAACCGGCAGGGCACTGTGGCAGGAGCTGCACAGAGTGCCTCGATGGCAATCAAACTGGCTTATGTAATTCTAAAAATGGCAACTCCTCACTTGCCACATCTTTCTGTCTATGCGGAGAGTCCTGCAGAGCTGCCAAACAGAAGCAATTGAATGAACTCTTTTCTCGGCTCATTCCTCCTTCCGCAGCTCGGAGAAAGTGAGCCAGAGCCTATTCTAGTTTGCCTGTCAACAGGAATGGTAACTAACGGCTTGATCTCAGCCAGGCTTTATGCCCCAAAAACACTGCCTGCCTGCGAGGAGTGGAGAGAGACATCTTGGGTGAAGTCTAGTTCCTGGTGCGAGACCGGTCTGGCTCAGGAGACAATTGAGGAGTTGGCCGAGTCCACACCATGTCCAAAGCCAACCTGGCCACTAAGGCAAGCAAGAAATTGTTGAAGGGGTGACCTGCTGTTCTCCATCCTTCTTGTCAGAAATAGTCATTCTCCACGTTGCAGTAATGGAGCAATGCTGCATATCATTTCTGAATGCTGGAACTGAAAGATGCCCCTTCCTAATGTTTTGAAATGTTGTACTTCTTCACTTTGAAAGAGTGGGAGCTTTAAAATTTTTCTGGTTTTGTGGTTTTTTTCCCCCCTTATTTATTTTCTATTTAAGAGAAAAGGTGGGAGGAAGTAGAGAAGGAGAATATAATGGGGGGATGGCCTTGTTCTCACTTTCCTACTGAAAACGTTTCAGAAAAAGGAGCAAAAAGCAGTGAAAATGGGTGGAAGCCCACTTCAGTTTTGTGTTCCTGTTCCTTCCCTTTTTTGCTTGAAAGAAGGATGGCCAAAAAAATAAGTGGGACAAACCCCACGTGTTTTGAATTCTTCTCCCCT